ACGTCACATTATAACGCCCCCACGGATGAAAGGGCGAGCATGTTTGGTGAGATGAGGATCCGAACCCGCGACCCTCTGATTGCGAGTCGATCGCCCTAACCACCTGGCCATGCCAGGCCCCAGTGTTGTGAAGAAGCAGCCAAACTAAAGTAGATATTTTTTACCAGTATTGTGAGGAAGTAGCCAAACTACAGTACAGTATCTTACCAGTATTGAGAGGAAGCTAGGTCTAGGTCCTCAATTTGCTCTTCCCAAAGTGTTAATTGTAGCATCTATTAACTGGCATAATATTTCTGCATGGCTTGATGTTGTTATGGTGGAAATGGCTTAAACTCCCACATAATGTTCAAGATCAGGATATTCTATGAATAGAAAGGGTCTCCCAGTGCAATAAAATAGTCCATTCACATTTATGTCATGGACATAGGCACTGTGATAAAATCATATTCTTACAATAGTTATCCAAAATGTTATCATCCCCTTCCAGATTTTAAAGCTCATTAACCATTTCAGTGAAACATGGTTCACCCAGATAGTGAGACCTCTACCATACAAGTATTGGTGACGGTGTTTTATGAAGATTACAACTGCAAGTGTTTTTTATTTTGTCTTACAGTATTTATATTCAGGAGCTGTGAAGAGTACAACTAGCAAACACAATTATACATTCTTCAAAGTCACATAACTGTCATTTCATTCCAATTTCATTAATGCTGGTGTCAATATCCAAATTGGAATTTTACATTTTGTCATGGATAGGTCAGCACTGGAGTATTCACTAACACAAGCTATAGGAATCAGAATGCTTCCACCAAAGTATGCCTAAATTTTTGTGAGAGCAATGGTGCTACTATCTTGGAGAAGTTAATCACAAAATGACAGTAATATGATGGAAAAACAAAGGAAACTGCAGACTTCTTGCTTGGTCATAGAATTGTACTGCTGCTATTTTAGCAGGGTCTGTAGAGATTCCATCTCTAACTACAATGTGACCGAGAAACTTCATTTCTATGCACACATTTTCCTGATTTCAGGTTCAAGCTTGCTTTATTTATCCATTAAAATACCACTTTTAAGTTCTCAGCTGCAGACTCCAGCATGTTATTAAACATCAAAATGAACAAGGAATCTTTCACATTGCAATCATTTTAATCAAAAATGGCAGGAATATTACACAGAGTGAATGGAATGATGCAGAACTTATGCAAGCCATCCATTATGCTTAGGTCTGCTCTCATCATCCAGCTCAACTTGCCAGTATCCTATCTAGAAAGTGCTGAACCAATGGGAACCTTCTAATATGTCCAGATGTTCAATTGTTTATGGTAAGGGAAAAATGTCATTGCAAGTTACAGCATTCATATGTCTAAAATCGTGACATACCTTCTTTCTTTTTGGCAATTACTACTGGAAATACCAAGCATTCTCCAAAGGTTGTATGACACATTCCTTCAACATCCATTGTATTTCTGCATTGGTTACATCCCTAGTGTTCCATGAAAGCCTGTGCATCGACTGCTTATTGAATTTGCTTCACATGTATCTATGATGTTGAGTCTCTGTTAATCGACCATCTGGTCCCACATATGCACCAGTATATTCAATAAACAAGTCACTTTACTGCTTTCACTGCAGTGGGTCTAGAGTTATTGCAGAATTCTCAACCAAGTGTCAGATGTGTTAGTAGCTATGTACTTAAATTTGGCCCATTCATTAGAAACCTGTGTGGTTTCCTTGCAGCACTGAGATATGTGGGTGACTGATTAGTCCTATGTGCATGGGTAGAAGTCAAAGTATGCAAGTCATGAACCTTTTACAGAGCACCTTTCAACATGATATGCATGTCAGGTATCAGCTATTCATTTTACTTTACATTGCTGATTTAGCAATAGTTTGTGATAGAGGAGAATAAATGCCAGATACAATAAACAGGGATCCCGAAAAACTAAATATATCCATTTCACAGGTTCTAGAGGTTATGAAAATACAATATGCAAACTGTATGATGAACATCAAATTGCACTCCAACTTATCAGAGTCTGATTTACAGACATTTTACTTAAAGTTTGCTACATTTCATGTAAAAACATGTAGTAAATTTGAAATTATGGTCAATATTCCTTCTCCAATACATGGTCAGTCCAGTTAAGAAGTCAATCCCTGGTTTGGGGTGGTAGAGCAATGAGTTCCTCTTGGCAGCTCTGTTTCCACATGATTGGCCTAGTAGGACACCCACCTGCTTAGAGAGGTTTATGACGTTTCATGGCACATGTTTTTTCCCCATTGGTATCCACTGTCTCACCTAACAGGGAAAAGGGAAACAGCTCTGCCTAGCACACATGCATAACAGTACTGAAAATTGAAATGTCATTTTAAAGATTATTTATTATGTATGCTTGTTAGTAACTATCACCCAGTTAACTGAAAACTGTCCAACAGTGAGCATAAACTATTGAGGACTTTCACCCAAGAATGGGGATAAAAATGCCCTGAAATAGGGCCTATTTCCATTTTTTAATACTTTTGGATTGCATCACCCAGAGTTGGCTAGCTTGTTTACTTGATCATTTAAATGAGTCAATTATTACCTTCCACAAAGCAGGGTATGCAATTAGCATCTAATGAGGCCATTAGGAATTTATTAACAATAGAAGGGGAACATTATTTAACATTGTCTATTATAACTTTGCTTCCTAAATGGGTTCCCTGAGCCAACGTGTGTAACAGTTATAGCAGTAATAACAAATAAAGCTTGTCTATCTCTATTAGAGTACAAAAGTAATGAAAACTAAATTTTCTGTCTGTATAAAAGTTCCTGCAGTAATAAGTGAAACTTCTATGTCTCTATCACAGCCCTGTAAGAAAAATTGCATTTTCACAGTAGAACCATCTAAAAATATAACATCCAATGACTTTGAATTACAGATAGTTCAATACAAAGTATCAATGTCAAGATCACTTTTTTGTTTTACAGTGATTAAAGTTTATTTAAAAACATCTGCTGCCAGTATTTCCACCATTAAAACACAGAGATTTTGTTATAGTAGAACAAATTAAATGTCTATCTCAAAACAATTAACAACAGAAACACATTTGGGTCACAGTCATACGCAAAAGTAATAACAACTGGAATCTCTTTATCTATATAATGTATATTAAACAACTGTAACTCATCTTTATATCAGTTACATATACATCAGTAACAGAAACTCTTCTTCTGTAATAGTTTTCTAAACAAAATCACAAATGAGACTTGCCCATCAGTTTTGAATATAACAACCGAAACTTGTCTATTTAACAGAAGTCGTAACAACTGAAATTTGTCCTTGTGTATCAGTTACACTTGCACATGACAAACCATAGCTAATATAAACTGTGGTGTAATGGAATATTTTAGAATTACATTTTGACATTGATTAGTATTTCATAGGTAGTGTGATAGCACTAAAAACTAGTTACCTTTGGTAAAGGTATGTGTTTAGATCAGGGATTTATATTTAAGAAGATGGTGCTATCCCTTTACTTAATGGCACTGGAAAACAAAGGAATCTGGATCAACTTCAGGTATCAGGCTCATCCAGAGATTCTTGCAACAGTCCGACCCCAGTCATAGTAAGCAAAGTGTGGCAAAAGCTATCCACACAGCCAAGGCAACAGTAATCAACATAATTAAAACGGATATTCATATCAAAACAATGCCAACAGGGAATGGGTTTACCAAGATAAGGCTTTAAGTCATACCCCCAATTCAACCATTGTCTACCTTAAGCAGCTAGAGACTGAAATGCGTATTCATGCTTTTCCATATGAATGCATCATGGTGAAATTGCCAACAAATCAACTATGAATTTCTGTATAATCAGACTGTTTAAAAATGCAGTAAGAAACCACCTTCTGTGTACAATAGCTGGATTACAGATAGCCTACAGGGAGCAGTGGTGTGTTTTGAACATGACATCATTATGCAATGCAAAAGTATGCTGCAGGGTTATTGTCAAGATAGAAAGCTGTCGGATAAAGCATGACTACACATGATGAGGCTTCAACATCATCTTAACATAAAGTACCTAACCTCTGTACAGTTATGAAAATAAATAAATATTTAAAAATATCACTGATTATAACCCTACATGTTATTGTTTCAAACCTGGCTAAGCATGAAATATTTCAGAATAGAAAGTATGACAAAACAAGGAAGTTAAGATTTTTATAATTCACTTTTCTTGACATGAACCTGTGTTTGAATGGCTAGCATGAATTCTAAAAATACTAGTGTTGCTAACAATTGCATAGTTACTGGTTGTTTTCCAGTTATAAAACGTATGGGTATCCAGCTAACCATTTTGAAAGTAATAAAACTGTTACCTGTCCTAATTGTCCATACTCAATATTCAAGGAAGAAGAAGTAAAAATTTTACAAACACATATTATTGATTCTGAAATTTCTGTTTAAACAAATTTTAATTAGTAACACTATATATCTTAGTGCTTTATTGTAAATCTTTCTTCACATACCTTTAAACATTATTAGTATTAATATTGTTTAGTGTGGTATATTTCACAAACTATTATTGATTTCAGTAAACATGAAATTATATATCTCACTGGTTAAATAGTAGCTTTCTCACTGCTTAATTACATGTTGAATTTGATTTTTAATACTTTGAGACAAAAAACCTGAGTGTTAGCAGCAATACCAAAGTATTGTATTGAAAAAAAAAAACAGTTCTGTCTAAAAACTGAATTTTTTGTTCAAGTTTTTAAACAAGGATCTTAGAAATTCTCCCAAGAATCATATACTGTAGGCTTTTACAGATTTCTTGTTGTTTTATATTACCCATGTTTTTTTGCTTATTTTCACTCAATGAAACTTCTAACATGTCCGGATGTGTGTTTATGTGAAATTGTTTAGTGGGACATTTTTTTTACATATTTTATCAGCTTTAAAAATTTTACCTCTCCATACATGTAATAAAAGCATTAGAAAGTTTAGTCTAAGAAAGAAGTTCAAATATTTTATTGAAGTGTGAAGTCCTTTTTACATATCTTTCAGAAAAAAACGAGAGAAAACAAAAAAAAAACCACCAACCAATAGCATACAACAAAACTCATTAGTACTGTTATCTCAAAGCAAACCATACTCCACTTGGAATGATTGTAATACATCATGCACTAATATATTTAGTACAAAACAAATGTTCATTTTGTAGCATCAGGCTGATTTTTATTTATATTCATGTTAAATAGTGGGATAAGAATCCCAGACCTCACTGAAAAACATATCAGAGATGAGACACATTTCAAAATTTAAGCAGATGTGGTGAAAATCTTTAATGTTATTAAATTTGAAAGGAAAATAATTGAATTATCCAACAAAATTGAAGTTGGGGGTAGCTGTAATATGTATTTATTTAAATTTATATTGCATGATATACAGACTTCTTTAAAAGAGTCCACTATAAATTTGAAATTTTCTTTGCTCAGAGAACTTAGACACATCATACTGAATGATAAACAACCAACTCATTAGTTCTTACTTAATGATACAGGTATTTTATTTAAACTAAGCCTAGATATTTGCATGCAATCTAAAGTGATAAACCATAGCAAGTTTTATAGAAGACAAATCAGTTTTGATGTATGAAAACAAAACAGCTACTTCAATTATAAAACATTTACTCTGATTAAAATAAAATATCCACTCAAACCTTTTTCTTCCAACACAAAAAAAAAATTAAATAAGATGCTATTTTGGTCTACTAATAAGAAAACTTAAAAAACATTTCTTGACCCAAATTTCATCAATGATTTCTAAATAGTACACTAAAAATTACATGTGAGAAACCATTTCCAATTCTGTTTTACTCTCTGTGATTTCTTGTTTTTCAATAACACTAGCACTTAATTTTTTTACTTGAAAAGAGTTAATGCTGATAAAGCAATTATGTGCAACTGAAGTAACTAACAATATGACCTTTTCAATTAAAAATTTTATAGAATGACTTATGTTCCCAAAATTTTCAACAAAATTGGACAAAAGCTTTGTTGAAAATCCTTTTTATTTATGTTTTTAAAATAAGAAGAATATTTAACTAAGAAAACAAAATTTATTTAATTTTAAGTTCTTTGTATAAAGATATCCAAAATATATGCATCAATCATTTCATCCATGACTCATGGTATTACTTTTGAATATTAAAATTAGTGAAAGCACATCTTTCTTCAGAGGCAGACATGTGGAAATATTTCCAACAAAATCAGAAAGTTGGTAGCTTATTAGAAAATCAATCTAAACTTTACAGTTTTACTTTGAAGTACAATTGATTTTCATATCTTCCCAACTTTGGCAATAAGCTCATCACAGATATTTGAAAGTTCTGTGTTTTCTTTAGTCTGTATAAACAAAAGAAAAGGCAAGTTCTTGTTACTAAGTTCATAAACATATATACATTTCATTAAAAAAAACACAAAAAAGAACCAATATCCTAAAAGGTTTCTGAAGGTATTTTTCAAATGATCCAGATTATTATTATCTTTTTAAGATTCTCATATAAAATTGTTTCTTTAGTTGGAGTAGCTCTAAAACATTAATAACTACATACAAACATTTGGTCATAAAATAGTGAGACTAAACTGTTTCTTGCATTCAGCACCAAACAAAAATTTTTATATTTTGATAAAAACATTTAAGATAAATGCAAGAAGTATCAGTTTTAATTTTTACTTCACAAACCAAACTAACTTAAACATCTAAAAAACATTTTAGCAAGCATTATACACGTTATTTGAAAACTTTTATATGGAAATATTCTAATAGCTTCTACAAATACACATACAGGTAACCCTCTCTTCTTAATTCATATTAATCTATATTTAAAACCTAAAATTTTAATTAACTTTACCTTGTGTTCCAAATTTCTTTCTAAACTACATATTCTCATCTCTGCTTTTTTCAACTGTGCTACTAGAGCTGCTGTTTCTCCCTCTGATGACTTCCTGGTGTTTTCTATTTCAATATTTGCACTATGAAAAAAGAAGAAAAAAGGATACTGTAAGTTGCTCATTTTAGAGAGGTTAAAAAAAAAAGGTCAGACTAGGTAACAATAATTTTACTAACAATATTCTTGGTTGGTATCAATATATCTCTTGATATATCCACAAAATATATTTTAACATTTCTTCATTCATGCATGACCTTGTTTTACAAACAACCATATAATATTATTGTTGCAACTTTAACATTCCATCAAGAACGGTTACCTTTCCAGCTTCTCTTCAGTGCGATTTCTCAATACTTCATACATTTGTTCTTGTTTATTCAGTTTGGCTTGAGTTTCACTGAGCTGTTGTTTCAGCCATTCTTCATTCTGTGTTGAAAAGCAAGACCAACTAGTGCTTTTATTACTATACCAATATTTACAAAAATTTTAACCAAGAAACTTTAAAAGATACAAACTATGTTTCACTCTTATGATACCACTGTCACTTTTTCTCAGGCTGGACAACAAACGAATTACCACCTTCATAGAACACTTTTCTAACCATTTTATTTGGAGTATGAAATCCGTATTTCATCATTCTTATAATTTTATGAAAGTCACATGATCTGCTCCCATTCCTATACAGATTTATAAAAAAAAGTGTACATGACAAATAGGTCCTCATTTTTTTGCAGTGAATTTACTATGTGCCAGATTTGAAGTTTGCATTATTTCAAATTTGTCACCATTATCTCATGAATTTCTTTGTTCTCTCAGTAGAAATACTTAACCAAATTACATGAAACTAGCATAGAACTTACTACTAAAGTGTATCTAGTTTTAGCTTAAAAAATTCATACAATTTAATTTTAGTTTTTCTGTAATATTTTATGTCGTAATATTTCCAAACTTTGTAAGACAATGTTTTGAAAAAAACATTAAACTACCTTTCATTTTAGGACTTAATTTTTTAAAACCTTGATCAGAAAGTTCCATTTTATATAACTAACCATTTTGATTCATATTATTTAACATTTATTTTTAGATTGCAGTAGTCACTACTTCTGGCTATAAACTGTAAAATACACTGCTGATACTAATACAGATTTATTGATGACTTAAGATCTGACCTTTCAAAATGGCATCAGGTCAGACTAGGTAACAACAATTTTACTAACAATATTCTTGGTTGGTATCAATATATCTCTTGATATATCCACAAAATATATTTTAACATTTCTTCATTCATGCATGACCTTGTTTTACAAACGACCATATAATACTAGTGTTGCAACAAAGATGATCTTATCTTATTATTAGCATAAATTAAAAACACTTCTTCTATCACTGTTGAAACAAGTTAAATACCTAAAAAATACAACTGCACAAAAAACGAAATTACTTGTTTGTATCCTTCCACAACACTTTTTGTTTTTTCATATCTTCGATGAAGGTCAGCAAAGGCATTCTCCACACTTTGAAGATCTTCTAGTGCCTGCACATTAAACATCATACTATATGCATACATCACTAAATGCTGAAAACTGGTACACTTTATTCATTCCAAATTCAGTCAAACAATTAACTCTTTCTTAATATATTAACTGGAAAATTTCATAAATAAAGTTATCATGGCATGGTACATCTTTACAAACATATTTACCTTTTATAACAGTAAATAAGTTTCAAATAAATTCACACATTTATTACTGAAGTTTGATCAAACTGACACAGAAAAAATCAAAGTATAAGAAATTCATAAATACCAAATAAAAGAGGAATACAAAGTATTTGGTTAAAATAATGTTGAACATATATCAAATTTAAACATTAAGCCCTATATCTATACAAAAGACACAGTTTAATTACTATTAAAATAAGTAAGTCTGTAGAAAGTAGTTAACAGCTACTTGTGTTTTGAAAACAGCTAGCCAATTCACATATAAACAATCTCCTGGTCATATAATGGGTATTCTAAACAGTGCATCAATGTAGCTTAAATAAAGGAGCTGTGCTGATCTTAGGAAGCCCCTGTTGCATATTTATAGCAGAAAAAACACTGTTTAAATTTTAAAGCTGGAATTTTCCACCGTTCAATATATAAATAAAGCTTTAAACCAATGGAACATTAGATAACAAAGAATGACCTGGTAGACTGAAATCTACAGATGAAAGAATTGACCAACTGATTATGATGGAGGTGAAGACATGCAAACATGTTATAGTCACTGCAATATGCAAACATTTAAGAACAAAAACACATATGATGTGAGTGTTCAAAAAAAGGTTTACAAGGAAGAATTTCATGGGCAAGTTATAATAAATAATTTATCTCTTAAAAATTAACCTATTCTGGACAAAAACTAGAAGAAAATTCTGCTGGATGCACTATCCCAGCTGTAAAATATGGAGGTAATAAGATTTTGTTATGGAGTTATTTAACTTTTATAGATGATACCATGGACTGAGGACTGAATCAAGTATTTTAGAACAGAAAATTATCTTTTGTGGTAAGAAGCTCAATAGTCTTGGATATATAGTTCAGAAATATAACAGTTCTAAGCACAATCTAAGTTATAAAAGAGGTTCTTCATAAGAGGGTTATAATACTTGAATGGCCATCCCAATCACTTGTTCTAAACTTGGTAGGACACACGAAGTAGGAGTTGAAAATGATGGTTAAGGCAAAGCCACCAACAAAATTATAGGCTAACTTAAAACATATTTAGCACTGAGAAAGGATGGAAAGGAGTTTATGCCTCGTCATGCAAGAAATACATCAATAAAATGCCAAACAAAAGCAATTAAAAGAAACAAATAAGATGAACAAAATATTAAAATGGATTTTAAAATGTTTAATAAAGAAGTGATCAAATACTTTAATTCTTCAGTTATTTTGTCCATACAACAAAAATTATGGAATATGATATATGTTTACTAACTGTAATTTATTACTTGGAATAATGTGTTTAATATAACAGGTGCTAGTATGCCACAAAAACACACACTCATTTAATGCCTAACTTTTACTAATTTTTAGAAGTTACTCTATTTCATGCAAGTAGATACAACAGCTTACATGAAATGTTATTTGGTGAAATACTCTTAAAATGGTTATTATAAATTGAACTGAACTCCTTCAAATTTACACTTGATTGAGCTATAATAATGTTCAACTGATCACACCAGTGGTTTACTAAAATTCAATATCAAATCTAAAATATGTTTCAGTATAGGTACACTTTATAAAAGATCAAAACTGTCAGTAACAAGTAGTTTTCAACAGGATTCCTATGAACTTACTTGATCTCTTTCTTTTGTGAGTTTTTGATTTGATGATCCTAACTCAATACGCTCATTCTCTTTTTGCTGTAAGAAGTTATCCACAAGGCTAGCTAATTCTGATGCCACCATCCTACAAAAACAAGAGAATCCCTAACCACAAGTCATTCTTTTATTCAACTGTCTGTGTAAATAAACATATAGTGTAAAAAATGAAAATTAACTTACAATATTGACTACCTCTAATGACCTCAAAGATACATTTTAAACACAACATGCTTTCTTTACTTGGAAATCTTAATCTGTACACGATAAAAATGTTTTATGCCAGTAATCAACGTGAAAGCTAAAATTATCAACTGCATTTAGTTTACAAAAAAGTATCTATAGAGTATTAAAAACACTAACATGTAAAACAACAGAGTTAACATGCATCTAATGAAGAAGTTAAAGGAAATATAATGCATTAACCCTATGGATATGGGTGGGGCAAAGTGCATACATCACAACCTTTTCTTATGAGATACATTCAGAATCTAAACTACTTTATCATCAATATATGTTAATAAACTTAGCACCAAAAAAAATACTCCCTTTTAGCTCATGAAATACTCCCTTTTAAAATTAATAAATTAAAATATAAACAGTATAAAAATCCAAATAATAAACTATAATGAGCTTTCAATCTACACATCTTTGAGCCACAGGATGTAGTGATGTCACGATTTCTAATTTATTGATTTTTTTTCTCTTCCCTCATACAGCTTTAGATTGTTCAACCAATTAGAAACACCTGCTATAAGATATTGACAAGCCAGAATATAAAATTTAAAACTCTCATCTTCTTGTTTTACTATTATATCACTATATTAGTTCAATCCACACTGACATGCTCCTCAAATACACTCTGGCTTTTAAGAATTGTTTATAATTTTCTCACACACTGCTATTGGACATGTTTATACAATACATAAATCAAATGATTGTCTGTTTTGTTTTAATGGTAAAAGCCAATAGTTTGCCATGAGAACATAATGCATTTAGACTAAAGACACTGTTCTGAGTAGTAATGACATTTCTTACACTTATTTAGAGGTTAGTTAGAAAGCCAGGTAAAATTAGTGATTTAGGGACGTTCTATTCTAGTCTCCAATAAATTTTTTGCATTCAATATGCATATTTGAAAACTACATAAGTTGTTTTTGGACAGCCACCATAGCAAGAAAATATGTTTACAAATCACACACCCAAGTACATAAAGACTTCAAGGCTCAAGTAGGGGGGGGGGGCTATATTTCTTGGTATTTATGTATATTTTTCATTTATTTCTATATGTTTTTAAACAAAAATAACAAAAATATAAAAAAACAGAAACTTCTTGGTTAGATAAGAAAACTTAAATTAAAAAATATACCCTCGAAAAAAGGTATGCAGGAAGCCATTATTTACACTAGTTGGACATGGTTCAAAAGAGCAATAAAATTTTTGGAATTATTTTCGAAAATGGGAACGAGACCGTTTTCTAGCTTCAAAGAAGGCTAAATAAAACCCCCAAGATTATTGTATATTTATAACTGTTTATTTTTCTCTTAGGTTCTTCTCAAACTTTAGTTTTTTCTCTCTACCTTTTTTAGGTGAAATGGAGGTAGATAGAATAAAGGTAAAAAATGCTAAGTGAAACAAAAGCAAAACTATAATAAAGAATACAATTAAATAGAAAGAACTTAATAATAGGCACTGCATATGGTTAAAGTAGAAAAAAAAGAAATCTTATGACATAAGCACTTTCAGACTCCCCCCCCCTCTAAAAGGTGAATTAGGTTATAAGTTTATCGCCTTGTATTTTTGGTTCTATATCACTTTTTAGTATAATGTCGTTAAAATACCAATCCCACAAGACAGCAATTATCTTGCAACTTCAGGAACTTTTTAAGGTCGTTAAGATATGGTATTGAAGCTTGTTCCTTCATTTTCTAGATTTCATACTTAAAAACACTGTTTACAGAAATCTAATTTCAGCTTTATATTTTGTGAATTTTAGTCGATAATAAAAAATAAGCACTATGTTTGGTCAGTGTATAAAATGACTCAGCATGCAAAATAAACAAAATACCTGTTCACAGTTAATGCATCCTTCAAAGAAGCAACTTGTTTACCCAGAATGTGCTTCTTCTTCTCCAAAGCTTTGAAGCGTTCATTCCACTCTTTGTCCTTTTTAATGAGTTTTTCTTGATATAACAAGTCATGTATTTTAAGAGCTTGGTTCACTTCCTCTTCATTAAACGTTTTGTGTTCCTGAAACAGAAATAAACATGTTAGAAAACACACAGTAGTATTAATAATTTGTCTATTTGTTTACCTGAACAACTTAAGGCAGCAATATGAGTTCAGGCATAGCCATCCTTAATTTTGAACTGCAGGCCAAAAGGAAAGTGACCATTTGGAAGCACTTGCCACCTGAAGTGGCTACTCCTAACTGAATAAGAGACTGACAGTTACTCTTATAACACATCCACACCTGAAAGTGTAAAGCACTTTTGGTTGTTCCATGTTTTGAAATCAAGATGCCCAGAATCCAATCTCACCACTAGGCCACATTAAGACTCATTACTAATAATCATGGTATAACAGTTCAATATTGCTTGAAGAAAAATAATTCCTGAGAATTCAAAGTGGTGAAAATTTTATTCATAAATGTTAATAGCTTGAGTTATAGAATATTTCATTTTTACAAATTTAACAAGTATTAAATGAATTTCACTCATATGGATGTGATCATATTATTGTCAATTAAATCAGTCAATTTTTGTTTTGATTAGAAGGGTATTGTTAAAGTCAAAAAGTTTAAAAGTTTTGAGATGATAAATGCAAGGTAAACAAGATAACTTAAAAGAAGTTCATGTACCACTGTCAAAAAGCTTTTATTTTTTCTGAGCATTCTCCCATGTAAATAGTTATTTTAGACTCAACTATATGCAATGATAATTAAGATTTAAAAGTTTTAGTGAGGACCCAGAACTGAAGATTCAGACATTATGCAAAAATATTTCTTAATGAGTAAATTTAAAATTAAACATAATAAAGTATGTATATCCTACAATATATACATAAATATATTCATATTAACTTCCAATACAAGCAAGCTACCAATTTGATCAAAACTAAAAATCATCCTGGTAATGAGTGTGGATATTTTAATAGTTTCTTAATTATAAATATTACAATGCACTGTTTCATCAGTTGGGTAACTTTGTTGTTAACAATATTTTTGGCTGTAAACTCAATAATATCACACAATGTTATCTATTAATTAACATTTACTGGAGTTGAAAAATAGAAGATTTTGGGGTTTATTATCAAATTCTGAGAGTTATTTGAACTACTTGGATAGAAATTTTGACACTAAAGTGAGGGGGATTGTGAACGAGACCCTGTTCTAGCCATTAAAGAGGGTTAAATAAAATCCCAAAGATTATTGTACATTTATAATTATGTTTATTTTAGGTTTTTCTCAAACACTAGTGTTGATTTCTTTTCTTTAACTTTTCTGTGTGAAACAGGTGGATAGAGTAAAGAATCACAAGTGAAAGAATAGAACACTATTATAAAGAATAAAATCAAGTTGAAGGAAATGAATAATAGGCACTTTAAAGATTTAAAACTGTTTATTAAGGTTATTTTCTTATAATAAATACTATAATTAGGTCAGTGATCAATTTTTGGCACCTCTATATTAGAGGGTGTTTCAAAATTATTTTTCCTATTTTAAAACTTATTAAATAACTAAGTAAATACAACCATGAAGTTTCCAACATCTTGTAGCCCAACTCAAACAGTGTTTTTATTGTTGTGTTTTTCTTCACTCCAGTGAGTAGCATTACCCAGTAAAATGGCAACTGTACAAGAAAAGGCTTGATGCATCATTTAGCTTACAGTCAGTGACTATGGTGCAGCATAATTACAGATGCAGTACAGGAAAAAGTATGGGGGTATGTTAAGGATACTGTATACCACACACCTTTAGCAAACATCATAGAGCTAAAGACCAGGATAACAGATGCCATCACCACTATAACTGTGTGCATGTTGCAGTGAAAGTGGACTGAAACTGAATATCGGTTAAATGTGAAGAGAGCCACTAATGGTATACATGTAGAAGTCTACTGACACATCAATAAGAACTGTTTGATTTGGGTTACAAGATGTTGAAAACTGCAGAGTTGTATTTCCTATTTTAAAATAGGAATAATTTTGGACCAACCTGTATACTAAAATTTAATGTAACTTTCTTCAGACCCCCTGTTGCAGAAACTGTGCAAAAACGTTTCTTATTGACAACGTTATCCAATAAATATTAGTAATGTTACTAAAAGTAATACAATACAGCAATTTTTCAATGAACATAACATATTAACAATCAAATATTATCTAATAAATTTCAATTGCTATAATGTTAGTAAATGAGATATAAGGCATTGTTTTTCATTAAACTATAATTTCTGCATAAAATTGAATTACTCAAAGAAATTCTTACCTGACTTGTATGACAAAATTCAGATGACCTTGTGGAATCTCTCGTTTCTAGGACTAAACTTTCTTCTACCTAAAGACAGATAAAAATATTAAACAGAACATACAGGATCCTTTCCATGTGATCATTTCAATACAGTATTACCTTTCATACAATTTTAGCACAATAAAAAAATTATGGTGTTTTTTTAAATATAATTTCTTACTTTATAAGTGAAAAATAAAAATTCCAAATATGGCTTGTTGGCATAAACTTTTTTGAAAAGCAACATTATGCACTAGTAGTCTTTTTTCATTTTTTTTCTAACTTAATATTAAAAATCTGTTTTTTAATGATGTTAATAGGAGGGTGAAAGGTTAGGGGGGAACTAGTGTAATATACGTTTTATTATTTTTTGAAAATGCTTATATTAGAATCTGTAAAAAGAACTGTTTTAGTAGTTACTAAGATACTTTTTATAATCTAATTAATACCTTTTTTTTAGGAGAAGGGCTGAAGTCAATCAACTTATTGATCTCAGAGGGTTGCCCTTGTTTGTCATTACCTTCTGTTGCTACTGTGTCTGGGTTGCTTTCTCTTGTGTGTTGCAGTGGGGTTTCTTCTCCTAACCTGCATCATACAGTATTAAACTGATAAGCATGAAATATAAAAATACAAAACATTTATATAGTTATCCTGTTTTATAAATTCCTTTATAAATTCACAAATGTTTTACCTTTATTAACTAATGAAGCTATGTAAGGCTAAGCACTGTACAAGTTAACATACATTTACTAATTTTGTCAGTTGAAAATATTTTATATCTCTGAATGAATCAAAAGTTCTACATGCACACACACACATTACTCTATAATAAATTTCTATAGAGAAAAAAAAAGTAATAAATCAAATATTTCATGATTAGTGTTTTCATACAGAACTTCACTAAACTCATTACATTAAATTTTTTGTGGTAAGTATGAAAATTCAATTTCTCCTGAAAAACAAGAAACAAACCTAATACATAATCACCCTAAAGACATGATATTCCTAATCATTTTGAAAAGCAAGAAATTAACAAATAAGAAGCATGATAATCCATGTCAGGGAGTGTTTTTTTCCCAAAAGACAGAAAGGTGATTGAATATCATGCACAAAAATAACTAGTAGAAATAAATGAACCCCAAAGGTTTTTTTTAAACATGCCATAATAACAAAAATATAAAATAATGATACTATCAATAACCATTTCCTTTTTTTTTCCCAATGCCAAGTCATATCAAAAAAAGAAATACAGTACAATATTTTACTTACCCTTCAGTTAGAGACTCCAGATGACTGCTTGATTGTTGTTTTTTGACTTTGAATATAAGAAATAATAATATTAAGAGCAGAGTAAATTAGTATTAGAGATATTTTATTGAGCAAACAATATTATCTTGTCAATAATTTTTTTATTTCTATATTTAAAACAGCTTGCACTGTGTACAATACAAAAGTTTTAGAACTAATATTTTCTTACTAAGTAAAAAATTTTAATACAGGCTGAAAAACAAATGTCACATCAGCATGAAATTGAGTTTTATTTTATCAAGAATTGTAATACAAAATAAATGCCTGAAACTGATAAGGTGTTCATCAAAAACTAACAGGAGCTGTTATGATAAATCCTGCTCTTAGCGTCAGTGCATTAAACGTTGTTCTCATGTTTGACATCTTGAATCCTGATTACCACAATGTCTCAAGCACGTAATTCTTGACTACTTATAGTGCCTTCCTCCAGATCTATGAAGATGACTTTTAGCTACTTTTAAAAATGTCAGCCATACAAGTGTACTGAATAACAGCCTGATATAACATTTATAACTTAAAACACATTTGGAAAAAAAAAAGAAGAAGAAGAAAAAAAAAAGAGTAGTAGTTTCGTATGGTGTTTCTCACACCTCCAAATTCTTTTGGAGGTGAGTATCCGTGAGTAGGACTAACGTCCTAGTCCGGATGAGCATGTTTTGGTGTGATGGGGATTCGAACCCGCAAACTGCAGATTGCAAGTCGAGTGCCCTAACAACCTGGCCATCGCTAGAGTAGCAAGTAGTAACCCTAATTACTATATAAGTATGCTTGATGCACTTGACTCAGATAGCAAAAGTGAGTCAAGTAATATTCAAACGATGATGGAGAGGCAATGAGAAAAGAGGATGCTAGCTCTCCATCTATTGATGATAGTCAAGATGACGAACTTACACCCAGCAGAGGAAGGTGTAAACAGCATTGACAATGAGAAACATATGTTCCAGTTGCAGTGTGAAGGGTGGGAGCACTGGGAAATATATGTCCCAGTTGCAGTGAATGGGCTAACCAAATGTCAGGCAAGTCCACCCACAGATGGGCAAACTTCATTAGAATAGATAGTCCAAATTTTTTAAGTTAACACATCTACTTCCACTTAGTTACTTGTCAATGGTGGCCATTTTTTGCCCCAGTATAAAGATTTTATTCTGAGGCTATTAATTATGTATATGCTACAAAAATTCTGCTATTTAAGCAACTACTTATTACACTGACATCTTGAAAAACAAAATCACTACATCCCATCATATTACTTACTACTGAGCTGTCTAGGCTGATGAGATCTGATAAAGCTTAAAACTGCTGTACTCAGCAGGTTCATGTACGAGTTTTTTAATGATACAAGGTAGCATTTGTTATACTTGAAGAGAACAACTGTTACGTTCTATATGATTAGTTGTAAAACCTTTGATTGCGAAGCAACACATACTACCAGAAAAAACTTACCAGAACTATCACCAGTTAGTAATGGGTCGAACTTCACATATAAAGACAGTCTAGCTAATGCTGATTCTTTTAAAGCCTGAAAGTGTACATATTTTATTATTAATTCAAAATTCCACTTTCAATAAGAACCATTAATACTGAGAAAAAAGCAAAACCCTTACAAAATAATAAAAAAAAATCTTTAACTGCAAAATTTTGAATTTTTAAATTTATCTATCTATTAGATGCTCAAATAAATGTTGGTATAAACTATATAAACATGTGTTTAATAACCTATGACTGAATATTAATAAAAAATAGCATTGAACAACATGCTCTTACCAGTATATTATTTTATAAATGAAAAAATAAATACATGAATCTAATAATAATTACTGAAAAATATTGTAAACACAAGTTTTAAAGGACGTCTTGCAATTTTTCGAACTACTAGTACACAGAATACAAGTTAAAAACTGACCAACAGTGTTCCAACAGACATTTTTGTATTAGTTTTTCTGACAATGTTACAAAATTTTTCCTAATAAAAATGTGTAAGTGCACTTTGTATTATACATGTATGCACACACACAAATATTTTGTAATGTACAACTTAGATTATAAACATGGCATTCAGCAATGTTGAACAGGGATTGTGTATGTAGCCTCAAGTATACATTGCAAAATATTTGGATTTTCAGGGTGAAGCTACTTTTAAACAGACAAATGCCTTAAATGGAAAGATAATATCTTACAATGCTTTCTTCTTTCTTGTGATTATAAAATATTTTACTTTTTAAATTATATATTTCACTTTTAGACTGTTATTCTATTTTTCATGTTTCAAAACATGGGAAAAAATTACTTTCCTGACCAATTTCATTTTCCCCTCACTCTCCAGGTTTGTGGGAACTCTGCAACAACAAGTTAAGGAAGAAAATAACCCAGAATCAGTTAAAATAAAAACTTGGTATGTATAAATAAAGTAGATACACACCTTGCTATTTCCTGCTTTCTGAAGGAATTCAAAGGCTGCTGGATCTTTGAAGACTGAAATACAAATTCATTAATGTGTATCTGGCATTATCAGGACAATTATTTTTAAGCTTTAAAACAATGTTATAAAACACAGAAACATTACACATATAAAGTTTAATATTTCATAACAAGATACAATTATACATAGTAAACAAGAATACCAATAAAATAACCCATTGTTTATTATAATACTGAAATAACTTGGTTTCAAATAATAACTAAATGATCTTGAGGATGATTTTGACGGAATAGGTTGTACTAATGCAGAACCTCCAGGGAGATGCAGTCTATTAAGTATCAGCAATTCAGATATGAAGAAGTTAGATATCAGTCTACTATTTTTTCAAATATGTTAACTAATATGGTGCTAACAAAACTTTATAAATGTGAACCAACCTTTGTGGAAAGAGCTTATATTAAATTAGTATGTACAATTAATTTAAGAAAAAAGCTTACACTGAAATAAACATATAAAGTTTCTTTAATCTCTAACAATAATATAAAAGAAACATTTAAACTAACATTCAGCTGCTGATCGAAACTCCTCTTCTGTAAACTGCAAAACTTCAGATCCACTATCACTTTGATATGGGATAGAGCCCACAGTTTGGCATGAAAATATATTGCGTTCTTGGTTCAGAAATGTCTCAGAACATTCTGTACTTACATCTTCTGACTGAAATTCAGAAGGTCTGAAGCCATTCTGTCTTTTGGAGCCTATTGTCTATAAAGAATAAAAAGGTCAGTTTCCCTACTTTTTAATACAATTAAAAACCAATATATGTATATATAAATAGAAATCTATCAGTTTATCTTAACATCAATAATAATCAAATTTGAGAGCTTTCTGAATGTGCAGTGAAATAACACTCCAGGACAGTTTCCTTATGCAATACATTACAACCAACAGATTTTAAATTTACTTTCAGGACAATTTTATTCATATCAGTATTAAATGTTTGATCCTTAAAGATAGCACATGAACTTAACAAGATTCCATTGTTGACATTAAGCATACTAATACACAATTCTAAATGTTTATAAAGTAATTTTAGGTGATTTAACACATGGACCTTATTCTATACATATATTCAATGTTTCATATTGGGTCTTTCAAAGGACAAAGTAATGTTACTTACATGATTAATAGAGCTAATACAAGTTGCTTTTTTAAGTGATTTTATCTCCCATAGTCTAGCACTATTGTAGATAGTTATCAAAAGTTTTATTTTTTCTATTGTATTTTAAAATAACTAAACAAATAAACATACATATTTAACAATCAATCTGACTCAACAGCAAAAAAATACAACTATCTTACTAGGTGGTGGGGCCTAAGAGTTAGTTACATGGCTGTGTAAATCATGATCCAGAGACCATTTTGCAGTGTTGTTTTATTTGATATCCAAGTAATTATTAAGGTGTTTCTGTCCTATCCAAGTGAAACACTCACATGCTATGGTCATGTTATTTCACTATTATTTTAGTAATCTTTTCTCCTCTTATACTTGTAATAGTTTTGCAATTCACTCATGAAAAGTCTTTGTATCTTCCTTTGTTTAGCTGATCTTGAATCATTCTCCTACTTTGCTTCATTGAGATTTGCACAAAATGGAATTGTCTTCACTCTTCCCCAGATAGATCTATAAGTTTACCACTCCTCTATACAGATGTATTTCTCTTTGGGTTCTTGACTGCACCCCCTCCATAAAGCTTCTCTAACTTCTCCTACAGCTAACATTTGGAGCAATTGGTGTGCAATCATGATTCCATTGACACCTGTTACATCTGTAACACCTCAGACATTTTGCTACTTTATATGTGCAGGTTAGCTTTGAATCTCAACTTTTCCATTTCAACAAGAACAAGCTCTCAAAGACCCTGGGCTCATTGTCTCGGCAGTTCCTCACAGGTTTCTCAAGAAGTTTGAGAATGGTGAGTGTTCCATAGATAATGTACTAAAACAATTTCATGATCAACTGACAAAAGACAATCATAACTTCTTTGGATATCATCCAATTATAGATCTGCATACACTTCTGGATTCCTCATAATATAATGCATATACCTGAAGATTTTCAGAAAGAAAATACTAAATGCTGGATATGGTTCCAACAAAGTGTTTTACAATTTCTATTACCAGTAAGACAGAGATTATTTGTTTGAAAATGCATAAATGAAATGATAACACTGTAAGGAAAATCACATTATATAACACATATATAACATTATATAACACATTACACCATCTTTTTTTTTTATTACAATCAGCTAAGTAAAAAACTATTGAGTTGTATAAATTATGAAAATACTTTGCAGCCCTATTTGCATGCAATAATGATAGAAAAAAAAAGATGTTTATTCTCTCTTGACAGACAGTTTTAGATATATACAAGAATGCATCTAATACCCTACTTATGACTTGAACACATACAACAGGGTGTATACAAAACTTTAAAAAATAAATTATCTGACTTTTTGTAAGTAGTCCTCCCTGACCATTCATAATATATAAACACAGACAGACAGACAAACACACACACACACACACACACATATATATATATATATATATAAATAAAGGAATTTATGTTCAGAAATCACTGCATTAACTACTTCAAATGAATTATTGAGCTTATATACTAGATGTAGTAACTAGCCATATATTTAATACAATTATAGCAAATGAATATACAGCCCATAATAAAAAGTGATGTTGTGAAACACTAAATTAAATTCTATTATACTGCATGAACATTTGCTTATGGTACAAAAAATGTTTTTAAAAATAAAAACTTAAAATAAAGTTTCCAAACTATTTTTATGAGCTTATATTAAAATAAACCAAAATCTATGTTCTGAAACTTGCCGAGCTGTGAAATATTGAAAAAATAATTTTTTGATGACTGACAGAATCATACAATTGCCATCACCTAAGTATAACAAACACAAACCAGAACTGTTGTAGTGAGTTCAAAAACAAAAAAGATAATAAGCAGAATTATACATGGAATTTTCTTTACGTTAAAATATTTTTTTTATTTGTGAGCTTTCGGCCCTCTTATCAGAGCCTTCATTGGGCAACAATGTACTTAGCAATGAAGGTTCCAATAAGATGGCTGAAAGCTTGCAAATAAAAGTATTTTAACATAGAGAAAAGTCTGTATATAATTATACATATTAATTTACCTACATTACAAGTCTTAAACAACAACAACAAAAAAGTTTAACAATTTTAGAAAAGGCACATATAAAAAACACTACACAATTAAACTGTATGCAAATATTTTTTCTATTGAAAATAAAACAGCACATTTGTTAATTCTGAGCATTGAATGTCTTTCACAATAATGTCTATTTCTATATTTTTTATTTCAGAAATCAGATATTTGGAACAACAAATTCACAAGTTTTACAGATTGATATTCATATTTATATTCTTAATGAAAATAATATTTCAAGAATGCCTTTTCCTCAAACTTCCTGTAAATATTTCACCAAATTAAGAGTTCTTTTGACTTCTAAAGTTTGTTCATTTAGTAGAAACTTACAGGATAGAGAAATTTGGGATGAAATAAAGCTATGTAAAAACCTGAAGGAAACCCTAAAAAATATTTCTAAATACCATCATACCTAAGAACTTAAGCATCTAATAATATTAATCTAAAAATAAACCAAAATCAGCAAAGTCAGCTTTTTGGAATATGGCATGCAAAACAAAATTTCAATGTTTTATCAATAAATAAGAAATTTGGACCAACTTTTTGTGGGGTACCATAGTGCCATTAAAGTATAATAAAATTTCTGATTTATACCTTTTAGATTCAAATTGTTATGATTGGTGCAAAAACAGTGATTCAGATGAACATTTCACTATAAAAACAATTTGCAATAATTTAGGTATCCTCTTTGAGTCAAACAGATTTCTTTTTCTTCTGTTATCTCTGTATAATCTGATTGTCTAGCGGGTGTATCATGCAAAATGTAAAACAGGGCTTTCAAATGCCTCACAAGGTCACATCTTACAAAAAATATCATATATAATATCCTTGTCTTGTGCACTATACCTCATATAAAACCTGTATATAAAAGAGCCTATTAGAAGTTCTGATAACAGCAATACAATCAGACGTTATACTGGAAATTTAATTTAAGTTCACAAAAGAACACTAGGTAATCTCACTTTGAAGCTCTAGCAATGTATCACCACAGTAAAGTAACTGAAAATTGGTGGCAATTTCATATAACACAGGCAAATTGGCATACAATTTACATAGAAAGAGTAGTCTGGTGGAATTCTGTATTTATCAGGATATGCCCAATACATTTTTGTTAGTGATTACTGGCAACAAAAAAAAAAAAAAAAAAAAAAAACCCTAACTTTAGACATTTTTCTTGACTTTTCCATACTTTCCCTGACTGAATACACCCAGTATAAATATACATATGTAACCATTCACAGTATTAACATAAACCAAAACTGCAACACAAACCCTTAATACAAAAGAAAAACACATTTCAATCCAGAACTTGTAAATAAGAACATGAAACACTAACACAAAACACAGCTTTTAATATTAAAAACAAACATTATTTAAATAATGAAACAGTAGATATTATACAAAACTAAATTTACAAAATACATAGTGAAATGATCTAAAACATACTGAACCTTTTAACCCTATGTCAAAGGCTGGATCTGGCCTTTGACATCCCATGGTTAGTCTGGTGATCCTCACAGCATTTTGGTGAAAGCCCTTTTGTTTACCGAATGGTGGTTGTGGTTAAGGGTAGAGATCTGTCTGGTGGGGTCATGTTTGTCTCTTAGGTCTGGCTGTGGTGGCAGTTGTTGTTAATGGGTGATGATTGTGTCAGTGAGTGTCAACGAATGTCTTGTTCCTACTTCCTCAACATTCAGCACCCTTTCAGTCCACTTTATCTCATGAAAAACCTTCTTGGGTTTTGGCTTTTAATGATTTTGCCAGAAGTAGGTGCATATTTAACGAAGTCGACACCTTGTTTTCGGACATCTTTCAATGTGGTATCTGTTGCCAAGACATTTACCCATTCCCTTTCTTTATCATGATTGTTGTTGGCACCAATGGTTGGGCCAATGATGTGCTTTCGACACCAGGTGTGGATGTGGGGAATGGCTGATCCACCGGTTACTCCACTATTCTGTCAGGCAAGGATGGAGTGTTGAACTGTTCTGAATGAGGCAGTCTGGTCTCTAGAGACTTTAATGCCAACCGAAGAACTGATTAAATGAGGTTCTGAATGTTCAAAGTATCACTCAGCAATGCATCTTTATTCATGTGCTCTACCAGGTGGAAAGTGAAGTCAACTTCAGGCATCTTGGGTTCAGTGGCGAGGTCTAGTTCTTCACCAAACAGAAAATTCCAGTCATCAAAGTGGCTCTTCATATCAGGATGATTTGAGGACCAACTCACAATTTATGAAACAATATCCCACTGGGTCTTTATTTTAAATATCAAAGGTCTGGAAAATGTACTGTCAGTGAAATCTAACTGGCCAACAGGCTAACTAGGTGTGAAGGTTGAAAGAGGTTCATAACCTTTAGTTACAATTATTACCTTTCTCTAAAAGCTACCTTTAGAAATTGAATAACACATGAAATACCTTGGTCAAGCAACACTTATACCAAGTTGACTTGTGCACTTGCAATAATCACTGATAAAACATGTATACTTGGTGCTCATGAACTGCTATCCATAGGCTCCCATTGGGTGTCTACTTGACCAAAATCTATTTAGGTGTGCTGCATTCTATTGTCATTAGAATGACAATGGACAGCATGCTTACTACTGAACCATATTTCCTACACATGTATGCTTACTCAGATTAGGTAACACTAATCTTCACTGATGGCTGTTAGAATTCACCAATGTTTCAACTATCTTTCCATAGGGACCTTCTTTTAGTCACAAGTAACTAGCAATGGTGTGATCAAGAGTTTCACTATTTGGGTACTACTTTCAGCTTCTCTTATCACACTTACAGTCTGCATGTTCAAGCATCCTAAACCACTTCCTTGTAATGAAACAATTTTAAGAAAATATTTAGAAAATTGCATGCTTTTCTAGCATTTCAAAAAACTTAGCAAACATATATTGAAACTCTATACCACCCTTTCCATTAACCCAGTGGTCTGGGGTTGATAAGATGAAGTTTACATTTTAACCAAATAGCCAATGATCATGAATACATACAAGTGACCTTTTTCACACCTCCAGGAGAGGACCAACAATATTCAGAGCTATTTTCTGAGCAGAAGAAACAAGAATTTTTTGCTGGAGTTTACTCTGTTTAGGTTGACTTTTCTTCTGGTGGCACACACCATACAGTATTCATAACATTGCTGAACATCTCGAGTTGAATGCAGGCAGAGGAATGGTAGAACAAGTGCATTTACCAGTCTTTGATATCAGCAAAGTCTAAAGACTTTCATACCCCAGACCTCTGGGGCCTACTAGCCCTAACAAAGACTGAGACCCACTGCTCATTGGTTAGTAAAAATGGTACAGCACTCTTTCCAACATTCATAACTGATTATATAAGTGTCATAGGTACTTTTTATTCAAACTAAAAATTAAATTAAGTATTAAGAAATTAAAAATATTTTAATGAAAACCATTTCTACAACTAGCATGAAATAAAACTCAGAAATTTATCTTAAATTATTAACTATAACAATATTTAAAAACAACTGTCAGAAAATCAACAGTATAATTTTTATGAAAATAACAGTTCTATAAGTTACAAATCAAATTCCATACAAGCCAATTTTATATTTTAATTAAGTACATATATTTTGTTTTTCTGGTGACCTAAATAACGTATATTTTGGCTTTGAATGAGATCTAGCCCAGATTATTATTTATAGCACTGATGCATATTCATAATTAACGTGAAGGTGTTTCATGCATGCAAAACAGTTCAAAGCACAAGGTTAGTGTTTCAGAAAACAATATAGTTGATGCCTCTTGGACTAAACTGCAATAACATTAAGAGAAAATCACATATATGTAGATGATAAACTAGCCATAATTATCAGTTTTTATATTAATAACACATACAATGTTAATTTCTAAAGGAAAATAAAGATGGATAACAAAGTGTTAGATAACATGAAATGATACATCTGTAGACAACTAAAGATTAGTGATAAATTATACCAATTCCAATGTATTTCCCTTTTAGTGATATAATAGTGCCTGATCCAATTTTTTGAAGCAGACTGCTTTTAATACAAAATACAAATTAAAAAGTGCTATAACAGCATTTATCATTAACTGATGTCAAGATATTTGTGAACACAGCAATAATAGCATGAAGCCTTTAGAGGTCAGAAACTTCAAGTTAACCTAGTACAATTGTGTTGCAATTCACTATGCAATGTCATTATCATTACAAAACCTCTCCAACTTCAGTTAGCTGATTTGTATTGGAAAATATAGGAAAAAACTATTTAATAAGATATTTTAAATTGAAATGAAAGAAAGCTTATTAAACACCTTGGGATACTACATAGCAGTCTCCAGGGTTAACAACTTTCTCCAATCATGACAATTAAAACATTAGATGATATAATTACAAACATGTGATAAAACATGAAACTTCATTCCTCTCTATAAACCTATGATATTGTTGCTATTCTCAGTGAATATTTTCTTGTGATAAAGTAAATTACTTCATAAACAAATATTGTAAGGGAAATGTTCAAAAACATATTATCAATTTTAAATTCTGAATAACTGTTACTACAAATGGTTCTTTTATAAAACAAAAGGACTGGGTACTTACTACTTTGGAAAAATTGTGTTCAATTCTGTCACATTGTGCTTTTGATCTATCAGCTTTTGCTTCAATATTCCACACGATTTCTGTGTTTTTAAATTCTTCTTTTAGTTCACTTGCTTTTGAACCATCCAAAGTATTAGTTTCATGTCCTGAAGAAAGGCATGATTCTTCCACATTTTCTTGATGTGAAGTTACTTCTTGTATTGCATTCAGTGGAGACACGTCTGGTTCAATATTTTGGTTATGAGAATCCATACCACCTGCTAGAATGTTTTGATCACTAACTAAGTCTCCAGAACATGCAGAATGCATCACAATATTTTCATTTGCATCACCCTTTTGAACAGACTGTGAATTCTGAACAGAATTAGTATTTTCATCACCTACAACAGAAAATGGGGAGTTCATATTCATATTGCTTTCAGTGGCTTTCACATTAACAACTGGTAAAGGAGAATTTTCCAGTTTATTTTGTGATTGAAAGGGATTGATATTTTCATCAAAGTCTGGAATGTCCACTTTTAAAGAATAGGCATTTGTCTGTGAATCCATTCTGACATCTTTCTGGGGCAAAAACGTTGTTTTCAAAATTGACTTCTCTTTTTCCAAAATTTCACTGTTGACTTTTTCACAAGAAATGGAACACTCATATGTATCTTTAAGAAAATATTTATCTTGATCAGAATCCACTGTTGATACTTTATCTGTAGTTGAATGGCAAGCCCAAGAGCCAATTGAAGATATGCTAGATGGGTCACGAAAAGTGGAAGATGCTGTTACTGCACCATCTTCCAAGAAAACATCACTCTGATCTGCTTCAAAAGTGACATTAACATTATGAGATCTAGTGCTTCTAGACTCATCATCAGTTTTATCCTCAATACTACAAAAGTCTTCTGAGCTTGCAGAAACAGTTCCTCTTGGCTCTTCTACTGAACTTGAGGTTGATTCCTTGATCACCAACCTGTTCAATATAGATCCCCTTTCTTCTGGAAGTGTGTCACAAGACTAAGAAAAAGAAAGAAAAAATTCTGATGTATGACATTTTTATTACATGGGAATATGAAACTGATAAAGATAATCATGTCTAAACTTTTTAGGGCTGTGCTGATATGACAGTATGAATCAGTATTGGCTTCTAATACAAACGTTTGTCTAACATATTGGTTATATTATCTGTGTAACTGATACATGACACTGCCATTTTAATGTTACTAAACATTCCTTTGTTATCATATACAACAATTCATCATCAAACAAGTTTTTCAGCCTATCATTATTGTAGTCATCTTTAAACACAACAGTGTTATGATACACACATCACATATTTTCATATCTTTATGAGCAATAAATACTGCAGGCTACAACATCTTGTCAGTGTGAGAATTCAAAATGGTACATGTTAGTTCCTAAGTTGAAGTTTTTAATACATACTTAAAGCTATTAATCTCAAAAATTGTTTTACAGTACTGAGTAGGCTTTAGCACACATACTTGTAATAATAAAATGTGAATTAGCAATATCTTTAACATTTACATACAAAAAATAAATTACTTTGTCTGAGAAATTGGAGACACATCTGCTAGTTTTATTAAAATGTTTCTGTTTTGCAAGAAAACCCTGAAAACATACATTTTTAAAAAAATATTTAATAAATATATCAACATACAAAAAAACATATATGTATAATTATTACTTAAACTTGCTTCTGTTTTTTACTAATAATTAATTAATGAAGTACTTTTTTATATTGTATGGAAACAGTTATTCAGCAGTTATTGGCACAATTGAAAGCTTATACAGGTTCACACCAAAAATTTGAAACTACGAAAGGTCTTAAAATCATCATAGGATTTCATGGTTACTTAATAAACAAGTACTACTTGACCTATGCCTATGATGAGACTTAACAGCACATTGGTGTCTGTAACTCTACATGAAGAAAGGAAAAAAAAAATCTTGATATTCAAACTACTGGTCTGACTTTAATGGTTTATATGCTGATATAATGCAAGGGCGACTTTTTGTAATAAATTGTAATACTTAATTACTAAAAAAAAAATTTTAACTTTAACAGAATAGTTAAAAAACCTGGAATCAAAAAACACAAATAAAACCTTGTAAAGTATTATTACAATAATACTTCTCTAAAACAGGGTCAGATTCAGCAAAATTTAAATGTAATATTGTTGTAGGCACTGTGGGTTAGGAAATATATAAATACAATATAATAAAATGTACGCATGATACTGCAAATCAAAAGTGTGAAAAGTCAACATTCTCCTTACCTGAAAATGTATTTCTAATAGATACTCATCCCCACACCCACAATAGCTTGATCCATCGTGCATCCACCTATGATATTTGTATGTCACTAGCCTTGAGCTAATTCTGTACTAAAAACTAGATCCTACTTTATGACATCATCCTGTGATGATAGCCCTCCATCAATAAAAGGATGAAACAATCTCCTTGAGCAGTAGCTTCCCCTGTGGTCGAAATAACTCATCCAAACATGTGGAGGTAAGTATCTATTGGAAATACACTGTCAGGTAATTCAAATATTATCTTCTGAGACAATACTTCACCTCCACATGAAGGATAACTAGAATACCACAGTGAAATGGTGGAGGGGCCAGTGCAAACTTTAAACCTAGATGAGCTCCCTTCAGAAAGCAGCTGAAGGGAAAGCTCAAAGAGTGTGAAGACACTCCACAGAGGCACATCTGCGAGATACCAGATCTCTTCTTGATTAGGTTATACACTTCGAAAAAAAGAGAAGGAAAACCAAAAGAGCTCCAAGGTCACAAAAATTTGTGGAATTTTTGCATGACCAACCAAGCACCTGTATACAAATGGTCATTGAGCCAAGAAGTGTAGCTTGGTTAGGGCACAATCAGACCATACACTGTACTTACCTCAACTCAACTGGACTGACAAATCCATCCTGCTGAAGAAGGAGGGAAAATTAACTGTTTGAGGGGTGACTAGCACTACATAGACAGTGTCACCACAGTCCTACTTCCCATCGAATTGTGCTGTATACAATAAGTGAGAAATTCACCAAGGATAGGAATGGGATAGCAGAATTGTAGTTAATAAAGCCATCCAATAACCAGCAATAGTGAAAACCAACAATCCATGGTAAAACAACCATGTGAAAAATATCAAAAGGTGGTCCACAGCAGGGTGGCCCAGAAGAAGGGAATGGCTGATGAATCAATGTTGAAGGATTACAGAAATGGGGAAAGAAAAAGATACATGATCAGAGTCTAGCCTTGTGGGCAATAGACTGAACAAATCCTACACATGAAGATGAAGGAACAACACTCTTGGGTGAAAGAGAGAAGTGTGTGTGTGGTTGAAGCAAGAGAGTGGGAATGGGTCAGAGAAATAAGGGGCTTGGACACCAATTGATGAATCAGAGGAAATTAGGGTTGTGCTGGCCAAGGAGGCAGCACCAACAGGATCCAACGAGGATCGTCTTGTATCAAAGTGAGGACACGAGGGAAAAGATGAAGAGGAGGATAGGCATACAGAAAAGGTGAAACCAGTTCTGGTTGAGAGCATCAACTGCCAGTAGAGAAGAATGAAGAACTGTGGACCAGATGAGCAGAAGTTTGGTGTTTTAGAGAATTGGCTAAGGCACTGATGAGAAGTGTGACCAACTGAGAGCAAACCCAATGAAAAATCTCAAGGTAGAGACACCACTCTGTGGTTAGAGTCCTGTCTGGCTGAGAGAGGCAATCTACTACCAAGTTCAGAGCCACTGACACATGACAAACATTGAGACAAACCAAATGGGAAGGAGTCCAAAATAGCAGGACCAACATGTAGAAGCAAAGAGTCCTGGAATGGGTTCCCCTATGATGGTTGATACAAGAAACATCCATGGAATTGTTAGCATCATTTTCACAAACCAATTTATGAGAAGATGGAGGAAATGGGAACCTGCTTGATGGATGGCAAGTAGTTCAAGGATGATGCAGAGTGAACATTCCTCCAGAGCCCACATGTTCAGTCATTTAGTTGTTCAGAGATGCACAGAGAAGCAACTGTGAATAGCTGGAGATTTTGTTGGGGGCTGACCACCGTGGTTTTGGCAAGGTTTAGTCACTGAGATAAGTCCTTGAGAAAAGGAGAGGCATACAATATAGGACAATGGATCCTACAAAAAGTTACTCTGGTCCCACAATTTTCATTGGAGGAGGTGCATGTATGTGTGGCCTTAAAAGAATCAGTGGTTTGAAGGAATTCAGAGTTCCCAAGAGCAAAAGACCCTCATGCACAGTGTGTAAAAGAAAAGCACAACTCTTGATGACAAGACGTTCCACTGGCCAAGTGGTAAAATTCAAGCTTGACTGATATCAGAGTTGAAGAACTTGCCCAACTGTATGAATTATAGGATAGAAAAGATGTGGAATGCTGAACAAGTCAGCCTAGCTGAGCAGCCTATCACAAAAGAATGCAATATGAGAGGAGTCTTCCTGAGAAGGAGTGAGAAGAAGCCAATCATCTATGCAATGAGGTAACTGCAGTCCCAATCTGAACAAGGTGGATGAATACCCCAAAGACATAAGGAACAGACACAATATTAAAAGGAAGAGCACAGGACTGGAAGACCCAATCCTGATGGACAAAACAAAGAATACATCTGGTGGATGGGGTGATTAGAATGTGTAAAAGAGGTGTCTGAAATGCCATCCTTTGTCATCCACAGTCCAGGTGAAAAAATAACCCCTTCATATGGAACCAAGGGATGATAAAGTGGTTAAGAGATGACAGGTTAATAACCAGTTGTAGGGGTAAGTACCCTCTTGATGACATTCTTGGCCAAGAGATCCAAGACCACATCCTCGAGACACTGAAGGAGGAGGAAAGGAAATGGAAAAGGAGGAAAGATACATTGTGTATAAGAACCTGAAGTACCCTGACATAGGAAAGTATAAGGCCAGAAAGCTGGAATGGGAAGAGGAAACATGGATTCAGCAGGCCTAGGAATAGGAAGAGAGGACTGATGCCGGGTTACCTCAGCCTGGTTCTCCAGGGAGTCAGAAATGTTCCCGAAGACCTATGGGTGAAGAAATGGTGCCCAATGAAGATGACATAGATAAGCATGAAAATGTATAAATTAGCTAGGAGAGTATCCAAATAATAGATGATCTAAGTAAAGAGAAATAAAGCAGAAAAAGATGCATGGGCCAATGTAGTGAAAAGAAACCCTTTAGAGCACGATGAAGAGCCTTAGATATAAGGTGAAGTGATGAGAGGTAATGCAGGAGGATGATAAGAAAGAGACAAAGGTGAAAAAATTGGGCACAAGAGAAAGAAATAGAAGTTAAGAGAATACTGGGAATTGAGGTAGAGAAATGAAGAATGGCTGTAAGCCAGGACAAACAAAAGTAGATGAGGATGATGAGACATGTCCATTCTAGAGAATGCAGAGGAAAAGAATGAAGTTATTTCATGTGCAAGTACTTAAGTGAAGCCACTGCAAAAAAAGTTGTGTTGCCTACAGTAGAGCAACTCACATTAAGCATGTGCTTTTTAGGAGGGAGTTAGCTCAAGGCTAATGGCATGCAACTCTTAAAGGCAGATGCACGAGGGATCAAGATATTAACCCTATCGGCACGGGTGCCCTTTACTACGAATGACACAAGGTTTTAGTGTCTTACATTCAAAATTTTATTAAACTAATTTTTGTTTATGTTATACCAGTTACGATAGCATAAAATCTTAGCTAATAATCCATATTTTAATAGTATACAAGTTTTAAGTTCTTAATTCTAAAAGGAAATATGTAAAAAAATCCTAAATTTCCACTAGTGTAACACATATGACAAATTTTGTCTTAGCATGTCATCATCCCTATTTTATCCATCACTCCCCAAAAATGTACGAAATTAAACAGAAAATGCTCTCTATAAAACCGTTATTGACCATAATTTTTATGGCCTTCAATTTTGTTTAATATATAATGAAACGTAAGAGAGAACTATCAACCAATTGTGAAAGAGAGTAAGTGGGTGTGGCAGGAGGGGTCTGATTTTCTCTTTGTTAGCTCTGTAACCGATGCCTCCTGCCACACCCACCTGTCACGTCCTCTCTTTCACAAATGGGTGATAGTTCTCTCTTACATTTCATTATATATTCTTTATAACCATCTATCAAATGGCGTATTGTATAACATCGTGTTCTGAACAGATAACCATCAATGTCACCCCGATTAGCAACATCTTTTCTGTAGGAAAGTTAACGACTAGCTTGGATCAATCTGTAACTGCTTTTGTCTCATAGCTAGAAAGCCAGGAACATTTTTAGAAGTAAGTGAATTTGTCTGCTTTTTGCATGTTATTAGTCTATATTCTTTGGTGTATCATTTAAGTAAATAAAATTGGTTAAATGCTTTATTATAATCGCTAAAAAAAATCAGGCTTAAGTCTACTCGACAATCAAGGGATTACACAAAGGAAATTTGAGATTTTTGAAATAGCAAAAAGTATTTTTAATTTTAACATGAAAGTACTTTGCACACGGACTATTCAAAATACTCAATATATTCATGGACAAAACTTTATTTTATTTTATTAAAAGTAGGTCACTAAGAAATATGACTTTTTGTATGTGAAAGACTTGTAATATCAACTGAAAGACTGACAAATTTCGTGAACATACCCAATATCTAGAGAGTTATAAGTATTAAATTTATATAAACTTTAAACAAATACAGAAGGTCACGTGACTCAGTCCCAGGTACCGAGCCTGTGTCCAAAGAGATATATTTACATATATATATTATATTGGCCTTTGAGCCGTGCCTGACTAATAATACAAATGTTACAATGATGTGGCACACGTGCACTCATGTTATTGGATACAATAACATAAAACTGACCTTTGGTCTTTATAAAGTAACTTGTCTTGGCTATATTTTAGTACGTCTAG